GCTATAGATCATGACATACTTATAGATCGAATTCAAAACTATACGGGTATTCAAGGGCATGCTTTGGTGGTTTAGATCCTACCTGTCTGATCGTTATCACTTTGTCTATTTCAACAGGGAATCATCTCAATTAACATCAGTAAAGTATGGAGTGCCGCAAGGATCTGCTCTAGGCTCTCTGCTATTTTCAATATACATGTTGCCCCTTGGCAGTGGTGTATAAAGTACCTGAAAGCCATACTTTTTTGGGTAAGAATAAGAAGCACTTCATCCGGTACTTAGTGTCTTTCATTCCAACATAAGAAAACATTTCTGGAATCTGCATCTGACATAGCATTTAGATGCATTTACATAGTTTATGTATCACAGAGGGGACATGCATTTAAACTGCAGTTACAGATGCATAAATAGGCCTAATGTTTTAATTAGGAAATGTAGTAAAAGTAAAAGTTGGCTGAAATATAAAAACTCAAGTAAAGTACAGATACTCCCAAAAAATACTTAAGTACTGTAACGAAGTAGTATTACTTCGTTACAATACACCACTGCCCCTTGGTAATATTATTAGACAATACGTGATTAGTTTCCATTGTTATGCTGATGATAGTCTACTCAAGTATATATTTCAACAAGACCAGATGAAACTTCTAAATTATCTAAGCTAACAGAGTTTGTTAAAAATGTTAAATGTTGGATGATCAATAATTTTCTCCTATTAATTTCAGATAAGACAGAGATATTACTTATTGGACCAAAAAACAGTAGGCCTACACTTAATCTCTTAGATTACAATTTGCATCTAGATCAGGGTTCCTCAGTAGGTGGCCCGCGGGCCACATTCGGCCCGTGAGAGAAAAAGTTTGGCCCGCCCGCGCAAATTTCAAATAATGTGGCATGAAAATTCAAACGCAGCATCAGAAAGTGTCTACACCGGACGCGTGCGGTGCTGCGCAATAAAATATAGTTTTGAACAGTTATAGAACAGTTTTGAGTGAGTTCACAGTTTTAACGTACAAGTTTGCTTTAATTTATTTTCAAGATCTGAGGTAAAATATATATTCAAACTCACATTAGACACATTTAACATTGAATAAAGCACATAATCATTACCTGAGATTATCACTGTCATATTTTGTATGTTGTTCCTGCCGCGACGTCGCAGAAAATAAAAACCATTCCTAAAATAGAATCACGTGTCGCTGTCGCGGGTGGTTAGGACAAAAACTACATGGAAAAGATACTTTTTATCGCGTCATGCCTGGTTGGGACACACGGTGTTACAGTTTGATCCCCCCCAAAAAATCGTATATATATATATATATATAGGTCAGTGGCCCTTGGTTTGGTATTGTTGGCAGAATTCGGCCCTCGGCGAAAACTAATTGAGGAACCCTGATCTAGATGGATGTACTGTTACTTTCTATACAGTCAAAAATTTGAGTGTTATATTAGACAGCAACTTGTCTTTTGAAAATCATATTTCACATGTTGCAAAAACAGCATTCTTCCATCTTAGAAACATTACCAAGCTACGGAACATGCTACTTGTGTTTGATGCAGAAAAGCTAGTTCATACATTCATGACTTCAAGACTGGACTATTGTAATGCACTGCTAGGTGGTTGTCCTGCATCTTCAATAAACAAGCTACAGGTAGTCCAAAATGCAGCGGCTAGAGTCCTTACCAGGTCAAGTAAATATGATCATATTACTCTGGAATAGCCTTCCTGATACTGATTGGGGTTCAGACACACTCTCTCTGTTTAGATTAATGACATCTCTTTAGCCAAGCATTCACATAATGTATCTCATAACCTTGTACTTCAGTTATATCTGATCAAATATACATGATCATTCTTTTGCTTGGTTGGAACAGCAGCTACGCTAATTTTGTCTCTATTTGCTTCTCTGTTTCTACCACGAGATTGGCATCCTGAGGCAACTAGGAATTATACAAGCTTCAGTCTGGATACAACCCTTACTAAGATCTGAGATGACCAAACACATCATTGCTGTTAATAGTGTTCACCTTCTGTTTGATTATATGTCATTAACTAACTGCATGATTTTTACTTTACATTTCTGCCATATGGACATCAACATGACAAAGTCACCACTGATAAGCTACTACTAAATATAAGTTAGAAGCTTTAATTTTCCGTAAAGCTGCTTTGCAACGATTTGTATCGTGAAAAGTACTATACAAATAAACTTGAATTGAACAGAACTGAATTGAATGAAGAATCTTTTGTGCAATGAAAATGTTCCATGATTGTTAAAGGTTCTTCATGAAACCACTGATGCTGATTAAGAACCTAATTTTTAAGCATGTGCAGTAAAGTACATTTGTTGTCAGTGTCCGTGAATAAGACGCTTCTGTCTTGCAGCTATTAGCTTTGCATTCATTATGCAGCAGTCTTGCGCAATTCAGAGGGGATTTTTTCCTCTCTACCGCTTCTGTGATTTCACATATGGAATCGTTCGAGATATTACAGTTTTTCTCAAATGCTAAAACACATTTCACAAACGTTTCCTCCATGTTCCCCAGTGTCTAAACACAACACCCTTTTCTAAAGCTACATAAACACAACCACACCTTCTCACTTCAAAACTCAAACTTTCACACCAAAAGAGCAGCTCGAAGCTTTCAAAAATGTAAACACTATACACATCATTACACACTACAGCAAAACAATTGAAAACACAATGCTCAATTTGTGAGAAGGTTCTTTGTTTCATAACTGCCAATGCATATTTTTAGAAACTTTACAGTAATGGATGTTCTTAGATCTCTGCAGAGGATTAGGCATTTAGATTTGTGAGTTTCATATGAAGAGTATAAATCTATAGTAAATTCTGCATGTACACTACTGTAACACAACTCAATGCAAAAACAGAATCTATTGCACACAATTGTGTTTTAGCATTTGAGAAAAACTGTAATAAGCTTACACTGGCTTTATGTGTGAAAATGTCAGCTGCGACTGCAGACCTGACTGAACAAACAAGTCACATTTCTATATTTCATCAGTCTGTGGTGTAGCCATACCTGCCGTGACATCAGGTATTATTGGGATTTTATGTCTCTGGCTTTTGTAAAAAAATTAATCTGATGCTGCGTATCACCGCCAGAGTCTCATTAGGAGTGATGCAAATGCGCTTCCAACCTGTTAGAGCTTTGATGGTGGGAGTAGAGCATGTGCTGGATGGGCTCTAATGAAGTACAGCGTAGGAGAGATACTTTCATTGATGGAACTGACTTACCCACTTGCATAAAGAGCACTTTATGTCTTTATCTCATTAATCTTTAACCAAAAACAATGGGAAAATAACAACAATTTACCACATAAATACTCCGACAAATCCATCATGATGGACGAGAGAAGTATGAGAGCTGGTCTGAGGAGTTATTGCACTGTCAGGTAGATTAATGACCGTGGATGAAAACAAATCAGGTAGTTATGGTATCAGCTGGATAGAGGTTCAGCATCACGGTGTGCTGTTTTCTGTCAGCTGTACCTAAGCTAAGCTCAGGGTCATTATGTCTTCATAGTTATTAAGGCAAAATCAATAGAGCTAGGCTGAAAACAAAAGTAACCAGAAAACAAAAAAGTTGTGGAGATGGAATGCTTTTCGGCAAACCATATTGAATCTTATTTGTTACTTTGCACATTATGTATGAACAAAAAACGAAAACTCCCAGATCATATTTCAGAGCCTCTAAATGATCAACATCATGATCAAAACTTTGCTGAAAAACCTGTTGTACACAGTCTACATTCCTTCAGCCATCTGACTGATTTTTAGCAAGTAAAGGGCCATTTAGAATAATTCTAAAAATATAGTTCAGGTAGTAAATATAAATATCGTTTATACTGACTTTTATTTATTTATTTACTTAATTATATGACTTTTATATTTATATTGTCAGTATTTCAAGATTTACTGGACTGAAGCAAAGTTACGTTACTTGATCTATACTTTTTTCATGCTGAAATGTATGTATCAAATATAATAGCCTACAATATTTATTTGATCTCTCAATCATCAATATACTGCATTTAATTATTTATATATATATATATATATATATATATACAGTGGGTACGGAAAGTATTCAGACCCCCTTA